TTTTTCGGAGTGCTTATAAACTTAACCACGTCAAAGTGCGGGTTAACAGGGTTCTCCTGGGCAAACCATCCATCCAACCAACCGTCATAGATCTCATCTTTGCCCTCGGGCCAGATGGAGGTCAAGAGTGAGCCCATTTTTAATTTAAAAAAATGAGCTACAATAATTGTCAAGAAAAGATCAGTAACTATCCTCCTTCGCTGCTACGACAAAAAGATACGTCCATCGTGAGAACAATAAATACGAAGTTTACAAGATCGTCATAAGTGACGTAAAAAATGGACAGGCTACTAATGAGTCAACTTATTTAGAATAAATGGATACTCCTAATGGCATATTATATTATGCTATAAGTGGTCTTGGACTAAAACTACTAAATATGCGATGTAAATCGACAACACGAATTGCAACTTAGATGCGTCACTAAGGTATTTCCCTGTAAAAGAAGTAGTCTTGCAAAAGATTTACTTTTGCAATATTGAGTCACTGGGATATAATGGTGGATTTGTGATGGCGTAGAAAAATCGAAACTTGATGTCTTTATGACGCAAATATTAGTTTTGCCATAAAATTTTGCCTGCTTGTGAAACCAATTTTCGTGTTCTAGACATTATCGGTGTATCGCATTGACTGAACTTCATTAGCTTTTGAAGATCCCCAACCAAACACGAGGTCGCTAGGTAGCGGGGCTCCTTTTCAGTCTATGAGTCCCTCTAGGTTGGACTTACCTACTTCTGTTAACGCATTGCTGTTTCCATTTGAAGTTAAAGTATAAGAGAACCATATTCATTACAGACTCTAAGATCATATTACTCGTAGTTCTCAAGCGTGATGCCCCAGTTGCAGCCTTCTTTGTTTGAAACTGGCTGCAGTTGTCTATGGGCACTACAGTAACCATTTACCATAAAAAACATCAAAACGTTATACCAGCCCTAGCTGATGAAAAGTTAATAAACTTTGGCGAATTTCAAGCCAAGCAATTCACTTTACAGTGTCATATTTACAGTTAGAGAGTAGGTTAACAGTTATTAAGGACATCGAAATAGATGAAAAGGTCAAGTCTCTAGATTGTGTGCTTGTTATCAAAACTAGCTAAAATAATTCTTATTCAATGTTTGTGGGCAAGATATGAACACGAGTGTATTAATATATGCTTAAGTAATATTAAAAGGGTCCATTGAAAAAGTTCCATTACGTTGAAAAGTTTCGGCACACTACTTAGGCCCATGCCATTATCGTAAACTTCTGCCAATGTAAAAAAAATATATTTATTATGCGACAACAGCCACTAGTCCGATCCGTCACCGACCAACACCGTCCGAGCCATCACCGTACGACATGACGCTCCGTGCATGTCACGCGACGTTGTCGAACCGTTCTACGCAAGCGGTCAAACACGTTACAATCGCGTAATCTATACAAATAAATAAAATTCAAGTGTCTATTTGTAAAGTCAAAATAATAGCATTTTATTAAATACATATCAAAATATATGCGGTACTTAGAACGAAAATACAATTTTTTACATTTTTGTCTGTCTGTCCATCTGTCTGTTTGTTCCGGCTAATCTCCGAAACGGCGGGATCGATTTTGACGGGACTTTCACTGGCAGATAGCTAATGTACTAACGAGTAACATTTATTTTAGAATAAGAATCAATGTTCCGCGCAAAAAAATTAAAACCCATGAAATCCATCGTAACCACGCGGACGAAGTCGCGGGAAAAGCTACTATTAAATAAAAAAAAAGAAAATTGAAAGTGACAGTAGCAAGGGTATGGACCGCGAACTCGAAAGGTCGTGGGTTCAAATCCGCCATTGGACTACAGTCGTGAATCACTCCTCAAGCATTTTAAGGAGACAGCCAATTACTAATAATCCCTTTTACCAGGAGTGGTTAAAGGGAATATTAGTAATGTTAAAAGCATTGCTATTAATAGTATTTATAAAAATTATCAATATGTGATTGCTAATTCTAAGAGAATTGGAGAGATTGTTTATTAAAATGAAAACAACAGTCAATTAAATACGCATTATTAAGGATAGCCCAAAAACTACTAGTCAGATCTTGATTAACCCTTCAATCCCCATAAAATTCCCATGCAGTCGCATGCGTCCGTCGAATCCCGAGCGGTCGCATGCGACCGCACCCACCCACAACACTTTACACCATTAAACCTTATATTTAGAAACTAACTACTAAAACAATCTCTCCAATTCTGCCACTGCCACTGCACAGGCATTTTATCTACTTTTAATTCCTCCTGGCGTCCCTATTATTTCGTCCTTCTGAACAAAATTAACTACACATATTGAACGAGGATAATACGATTACTGAACGCGATATTTATATTCTAGTGGGCGTAGTTTTGGATGCCTTATTTGTCGTGCCTTATACGTTAAGACAGGTTCAGACGTATACGATACATTTACAAAAAAAAAGTTTACATTCCAGGAAAACCAGTTCGTGTACTATCCGATAAATTTTAGTTCACATTTGCGAATGTGTCCTTGTTCTTGAAATGAGCACCGATTCATAAAAAGTGGCATTGAAAATACGCACGCAATCATTAAACGAATCTCTTTCTTTAAATGAAGAATTGTCTAGTGCTACAATTTCGACGAAAAGCTTAGAACAGTGTCAGACACTACCAAATTCGAAAAATATAGAGACGCTGACAGGATCTAATTATTCATTTATATGTATATGTATAACAATCGCGTTAAATTTATAATGTAATATGAGAAGTTCACAGGTGATGCAATTTCAGAAACAACGAGGGAATTAAACAAAATGTAGACAAGAAAATGAAAGATTTATTTTTCGGTGTTTTCGCTATTTTTATGAGTGTTAAAATTAATTTTCAACTAATCACTTTGTCACATGTCTCAAATATGATGAAAATAAATGTTGTATCTAAGGTTCAAAGGTGATCCCGCAAGCGAAACACACCGAAGCCTAAATCACGCTATCAAAAATTCCGAATATATAGAACATTTCCGAACTATCACTCGGAGCGCTGGCCGCTCCCCGGGCAGAACACCTTGCCCGGCGGGAGATCTCCCCTTTTCCTTCTACGGCCACAGTGGCGACCACCCGACGTGATCTGAACACGCAACTAACAACCTTCGGAAAACTTCAAGCTTCATCATCGTCATAGAATATCCCACCCATTCGCTCCCAAGCAGATATCGTCTGCAGTCTTCATATCCTGCAAGCCAGCTAGCTTGACAAGGTTCATCGCAGCACTGGAATGATAATGCTTCCTGTTCCTTCAAGCTACTCTCTGCGCTACAGTGTTCGGCACGGCTCTGAGCCTTACTGCTCGCCCCTGCTTCACAGCACTTTCGCAGATTACTTGCCTTCTTCTCGACTCACCGCAAACTACAAGACAATCTCCTGGCACTTGCACATTCGTCGGCAGCGAGGCTGCACTACCGACCTCCGGTCTGAGCAGGGAGGTGATGTAGCGGCGCTGTGGTCGCGTCTATATATATATATATATATATATATATATATATATATATATATATATATATATATATATATTTTTTTTTTTTTTTATATATATATATACAATATGTAACGTAATTAATGCACACCCTCAGACACCTCAATTAGTATATTATGTTATAATCATAATACATACACTGAATTTTAGTTAAACATTTTTATGCACTGATTATCAAATCAAATCAAATTAGTTATACTAATTCCGGAAGAATGTTGTGGTCACAGTACAAATCCACGAACGCAAAGACTTTAATGTGCTAGAAATAAAGTTAATTTTTCTTTATTTTTATTGTATGACACAATTAGTAATAATACAAATAAAACTGCACTCTTAAAAGTCTTATTGGCTTAAGTTACGGTCCATTTCAGTTTATTTTGACTGTACAGATTTAGTGTGACTGTAATTTACGTAGTTTTAATTATTTTTGGGATAAAAAATTACCTATATTAAAAATGATAGGAATCAATTCAGTAAACGATTCTGAACAAATTACTTTCTCAAAGTGCGTTAATTATGTTACATGTTGTATATATATTAGAGATGGGCCGAATGTGATTTGAACCGAATCCGAACTTTGGCCAAACATTCGGTTCAAATGAAATGAAAGCGCGCGAAAATGAACCGAAGTTCGGCCTTCGGTTCATTTTCGCGCGCTTTCCCGAGAGCGACGCATCGTGACTTGTTTACGCATTTACTTCAAATACCTCGTAATAGCCGGCTGGTCATTATCAAATACGTCACGACATCGGCGCGTATCGCGTGCGATTGTAGTCAACAAAAATAATTGTTTTAAGTGGATTGACGAGGTTTTAAGCGATAAGTTTTGTTACTGGCTTATTCCTAAAATGAGTGCAAGGAAAAAATCAAGTGTTTGGACATTTTATACAGAAACCGATCAACCAAATAAAGTGAAATGTATCCTATGTGATTCGGTGATATCTCGTGGTGGTAGTGGACGTTCAGCGTCTAATTCTGCACTGACCAACCAGCTTCGTGTGAAGCATGATCGAGAATACACACAATTACAACATCCCCATTCATTCGCCAAATCCAATCCTTCCTTCAGTAAGACCTTCATCGTCGAATACTACTGAAGAGTTGCCCGCAGCGGAGTCATCATTACGTCAAGCGACCATTGAGGGCACATTTGAAAGTAAGTGGAAAATAGATGACCCAAGGGCTAAATAAATTCACAAAGCTATAGCAGAAATGATATGTGTGGATAATCAACCTACATCTATTGTAGAGATGCCGGATTTAATCGCTTGCTAGCCATATTAAAACCAAACTACCAGATGGAAAATACATTACTGAAACAGTGATAGTTGAAATGTATGAACAATTAAAAAAGAAGATTTTCAACCAACTATCCGAAGCTAAAACGATTTCAGTAACAAGCGACATGTGGACGTGCATTAATAATATGCTGTGTTTTTTAAGTTTTACTGTTCACTGGCTTGACAACAATTTTGTACTGCAACATGGGATGCCGAAAATGAAATCGTTTTCAGAGCAGCATACAGCGCATAATATCCAGTGTGCTCTAGAGGAAATAGTCGAGTCATGGAACATCTCAGACAAAATACATGTTATCGTCACTGATAACGGCCGCAACATTGTGAAAGCCGTAAATGACAGTCGTTTTGAAGGAAAAACGTGCTTCATTCATACTTTGCAACGAGAAATTCACGTTGCTTTAGACGCGCAGGAAAGTGTTAATGACGCAATAGCGGCAGGGCGTCGTATAGTGACTCAATTCAATCACTCACAACCGGCTCAAAAAAAATTGCAGCTGATACAGATTGAGCTCAATATACCCAAGCACAAACTTATTCAAGACGTCAGCACCCGCTGGAATAGCACTTTTTATATGGTTGAAAGGTTACTGGAGCAAAATAGAGCGATTTCGTTGTACATATCTGACAACAGTAACACAATAAATTTTCAAAATTTGACAGAGAGACAATGGGATCTTCTGAAAGAATGCCTTGCTTTACTTCAACCTTTCGAAGAAATCACAAAAAAATGAGCTCTTCCTACTCCTGTATATCAGAGGTCATTCCTAACTTGACGATTCTTTCGAAGTATTTGATCAAAGAAAAAGTTAAAGTGGCTTGTTCTAATATAAACACAATGCGTTCGTCACTAAAAGAAGGACTGGATAGACGTTGTCAGGGGATTGAAGATGACAAGTACTATAGTCTAGCAACAATGCTAGATCCACGCTACAATATGAATTTTTTCACACCAGATAATGTACCAATGATCAGACGAACTTTCCTGGCGGAATTTGTAAGAAGGAGCGAGGATATTGGGTCAAGCATTGATGAAGAAGTTGTTCAGGTAGCACAGAGATCCACGTCATCATCCAATTGTGAAAACACACACAGAACGTTCTGGAGCTGCTACGAGGAACTAGCAGCAGTAAAGTTACCGATAGATGTAGAAGAAACCATAAGTCCGATTGCGTCAGAGCTAGATAGATATCTCAGTGAAATTCTGCTACTCAAAGACTTATGTCTATATGGTTGGTGGGCTAAGAATAAAGACAAGTTCCCTAATATGAGTTGTTTGGCTCGAATATACTTATCGTATCCCGGAAGGTCTGTATATTCTGAGCGACTTTTTTCGGAGGCAGTAAACATATACGAAAAAAAAAACGTAACATACTTCTGCCAGATAAGGCAGAGTCTTTAGTGTTTTTGCACCATAACCTGCCTCTAGTAAATTTTAAATATGAATAGATAGATAAGAAAAGTTTGTTTAATATGGTTGTTGAAAAAATACCCTTTAATTGTAATAAAAAATACTATGGTTAATGAATGTTGAATCAAAAACGTTATTTTTTTATTTAATTTCCGGACTCCTATCCAGATGTTTACTAGGAGAATACAAAGTTTATTTCATTTTTGTAATAGTATGTCTAATTATTAATTAGGCAGGGATTTCTAAGATTAATAACTAATTAACTAAGATTAAGGTTAAGAACTAAGATTAAGGGGATAGAGTAAGTCACCTCAAATTCTAATTTCGTCCCCACTTGCCCGCGAGTCGTATGCTATGTACCGACATGTTTGTAATCACTAATACTGTAAGTAGAAAGGTCGTTAGACACTTATTTCATTAGGTTTATCATATTTATGCCTGTTTCTTAACGCCAAGCCAGTCGCTTCTTATTTTTATTACGGTCATTTCCCGTTTTAATTTTACGTCGTCCTGTTGCGTAATGTATATTCTGATCGTAAGCGACACAACCTCCCCGTTCAAAGGCCGAAGCGAAGTGACCGTGCGGCAGGAATCACGCTTCAAGTGGCCGATAGTTTAGGTAATTTCTTTTTTACAGTGAAAATAATGGTATTTTAAAAAAAGTAAATAACATAAGCACTGCTTTATAGTTAGTTTAGTTAGTATGCAAAGTTTCATGATCTTATTTAAAGTATTTTATGAATAACAGCGGTTTATTGTTTATTTTGGAGGTAACTTTGGATTTTTTTCTATCGAGAAAATTTTACGAAATCGTGTTTTCGTCTAACATAATCCTTAACATTAATTCTCAACTTTACCATATATTTATTTCAAAATTAAAGCTGCAATATTTTCGGCATAACGAAAGATCTTGCTAAGCCATTTTAGATTATATTTCCCCTTAAGATTAATAATAAGATAAGAACTGATTTAATATAAGGTTTACATTTACAATGTTCCTAAATAAATAAATAAATAATTAACCATGAGTGAGTAAAAATAATATCTTTTATTTTACAGTATCTAATGTTGTTATATAAGGTGCTTCTAAAATATATGCCACGGTTGTTTGTATGGAGACTTGGCCAATCAGCTGACCGATTTCCATACAAAGTGCAATTTTTTTTGGGAATTGACTATAGGTTCCTTGGGGAAAGTGGTTCAGTATCATGAGTAGAACCACCAGTTGCAGCCATGACATATTGTAACGTAGAAGCACCCTATATTTCAGTTAAAATAAATGCAAGTAGGTATTATTTTTCTTGTACCGAATTTCGGCATCTGAACCGAATTTCGGTCGAATCTTTCGAGAAGACGATCGCTCTCTTTCTAACCTATGGCAAAATATTCTATAATGAAATATAACTACGATTGTATATATAGCAATTAGTATAGAGATTTAAAGCCAGGCTTTCGGGAATAAATTTGGTAAAAGCGGAGGCGCGCGGGCAATACGTTTGCAAGTTCATTTTACGTTTCAATGTTTATTTACTCTATGTGCTTATCTTAAGCAATTTAATATTACGAGTTCAAAATTTATGCTTTTTTAAAGATTTTTAACGAAATTGGAGGATAATAGTGTTCCTTGTGATGAATTGAAGTGTGTTAAAGTGATAATCGGAGAGGAAATCTTTAAACTTTGTTGAGATAATACACAAGGTTTAAGAGTGTATTTCAGACTTATCAATTATCGCAATAAAAACAGTTATTGGTACAATTAAAACGTTCACCAACATTTTACGTGGATGTAATTAAATCTTTCCATAAGAAAGCGAGACGATTCCACTTATCTTATCTTATCTCTTATCCATTAGAATGTAAATAATTTTTTTTTAATTTTGTACATAGTTTGTACTTTGTTCGTGTTTTACTTTTGTTCTTGTATTGTATTGGATGTAAATATTTTTTTCTTTCGCTTAAACAAACCCAAACGGCTTTCTTCAAAGCCACCGAAGCTATGCAATTGCTGATATGTAATACAATCTATCTAGCAGTAGTATGCCTTCTGTGTGCTTTGTTAAACACGTCCTTGACAGCACTGAATATGAAACTGAAGCGCGGAGACAGATCAAGATTGGTGTATTTTTATAAAACTGCTAAAAACAATAATCTATATTTTTATCAATTTATATCTTGGGCTTGCCCTAGCTTGGAGCTCTAGCTTCGCCACTGAGAACATCTCAGAACTATCACTCGGAGCGTTGGCCGCTCTCCGGGCAGAACACCTTGCCCGGCGGGAGATCTCCCATTTTCCTTCCACGGCCACAAGACTAATATCATAACATGACCCAGCCCAGTACAAACAGTTTTAAACAACGTTGAACTATACTCGTGTATTACATTTCGTATTGCCGCCTTTACATGTGTCCTTAATAATTATCGCTTAATTGTATCTTTAACCTGTTAGTTATTCTGTTATTTTTGATAGTAGGTACAATTATTATAGTTGGATTCTATACTTTACGAGTTACTTTACTTAACAGAAAACAAATATTAAAACCTAAATCTAAATTTCTTGAACAATTGGAGTACGATACAGTTACTCTCGTAAAAATTCTGCGTTCAACAAGAAATATTTGAAAATATTTTTTGTCGACAATCGGTCGCTAACTTTCGTTAGTCGATGACGCAAGCTGTGTAGTGAAGAAGAGATGCTGCACTAAAGAAACGTAGGAGTACTAATATAACAAAATCAATTTTTTTTACTATTTTAGATGACACACTATACCCGAAACTTTCCATGACCATGACATGATCATAGTCGTGACCGAAGACCAGATAGATGCTATTATTAATTAAACTATTTACATGATTAAAGACGAGTCTGTAAACACTATAGACGAATATCATATGATACAAAATTGGAATATTAAAAAAAACAAAATGCAAATAATTTAACGGCGGATAATATTTCAAAACATTAAATAAATAATCTACACATATCGTAGAAACATTTAAGAATGAACCGATTTGTGTAATCGAGGTCATTAATACGTTTACGGTAAAGTAGACAGAATAATCTGTATTAATTCCCAGACATTTGGATATCGTGTCGTTCACCTTTACATCAGGTTTGAAAACTTTTGCGTCTTTAGACATTTTGTGCCTTATATCTTATTTATACTTCAGCAATGCATAATATTTTTTTAATGTAATAAATTTCGTCACTCATACACATTATAAGGTAACTTAAGAATATATGACTCATCAGAAAAATGAAAATTTATACAAAATGAATAGATATTAATAAGGGATGCCACCGAGGATTTAAAAAAAAACATGCAATTTATTATTTTATTTTGCAAACTATCGCACATATTATGAATTTGATTGCGTGTCCATTGGTTTTACACAAACAAAATTAATTTTCCTCTTAATTAAAGAAAAGTTATAAACGAATAAAAATCCTTCGGTATGCTATATATTCATAAATTCATAAAAACTATAGCAAATCCTAACGAAGAGTTCGTAAGTATTTGCGACTATCAAGTTAGCGGGTATCAAGTACGGGACAAGGTGTTTTGCTATATAATCTCTATATTAATAATAATTTTGACAACTACATAAAATTGATATCTGTTCCTGGAACAGCCACAAACGTTAATGTGGTAGAGCCATGCCGCAGTTATATTAGTAGCGCGAATGGGCCGGCTCGACCGGGGAGGGACCATGCTCTTACAGAATACCAGCGTAAAATAGTAGCTTAATGCTGCTGTGTTTCGTATTGTGAGTGTAGAGAACTGGAGACACTCTCTACTGGAAATGAGGCATTCCGTCTTAGTCCTCACGGGTGACAACGCATTTACATTTTGATTTGCGTTGTCACTCCTTTTACGTTGGTATTCTGTGAGAGCGTGGTCCTTGCCCGGTCGAACGGACACATTCGTGCTACAACCATAACATAGCTGCAGCGTGGCTATACACCTATAAATATCCTTAATATCCAACAATTTGAAAAGAACGCGAATTGACGACGAACATTTCCGTTCCTTCGCAGGCAGGATGTTGGGAGGGCCGTGAGCATAGAATTTTTAACAAGAAAATCCCAAATTTGGAAAAGCTTGTGCATATGTCTATCTGTCTTACCTATGTTATAAACTATAATCAACCAAATCTAAGAAATACCTTTTGACGTTTCACATTAATCATTCCGCAATAACTTTGCATAAGCGTACTCATATTATTTAAAATAACATTTTACGCAAATCCGAAGAATTATGAAGTTATCTATATTTCATTACAACGTCTATAGTTTTTATCACTAATTTAAATTTGAATCTTTCA